TTTTGGAAACCTGTGAAACAGTGAGTCTGCAAAAGGTGAGCTGCAAAACAGCGAGGGACTACTGTATATACAGTCATTATTGTGGAATAAAACTAATACCTGTATCTGAAGGATGGTTATAGCTGCTAGTTCTATGCCTGGCACATAAGGACACAGGACATAGTTTTCTGGGAAAGGCCAACAGGAAAATCTCAAACTCATCAAATTCTGAGTGAAATTATCACACCACCAGTTACTGTCAGTGACTCCCTAATAACTAGGCCAAGAGACAGTCACGTACGGGAAGTGGGGGGGGGCAAAAGATGACTTGATGGCGCCAGCATAGATTGCCAAGATGGATACAATGACACAGGCCAGGAAAAGTGAGGCAAACTTGTTCACGTAGCGCACACCGATGAATACCACCAATACCATGAGAACCAAGAAGGCCGTGCCATAGACACGCATGTTATTTAGCATGGCTGCTGATTCCTTGAGGGCATCATCACTGCGAAAGATGGCAGCCCGGGGTACAATGTATACCTGTCAGGCCAAAAACAAAAAGGGATCATTTCAAAATAATCAAATAGAAAGGCTACAATAATTTTTATCTGCTTTCATGAAGGAAAGCAAAGCTGAAACATAAAATGGATGGAGAATTAGCTTAATTCTTTATTTGGATCTGGAATACCTATAGAAACAACCATGGATTTTTTTTTTCTATCTGCTATTCTGAATGAAGTACATTTCCAAGTAAGAAAAAAAATGAATAAATTAATATTTTTATTCATAATGATTAGCTTAGCCCTTCCATCACCACTTTCAATGGTAAAACATATATACCAATGAATAGAGAAATGGAAATAAACTTTACTTCACTGAGATAAAGACATCAAAAAAGATAAGGCTTATTTTACACCTCACCCCCCAACCCATAGGCTCAGATCTTGCTTCTCAAGACTGCAATTTGGTTGAAATGGTAGAGTGCGAGCAATCAGGTGAAGGGGTGCCTCATACTTAAATTAAGAGCCCAATAAGTAACAGGTTAGCAATCATTGCACTGATATCTATAGCTAACCTCTCAGAAGCTTTGATATCAAAGGAAAAAATAGACCTAAATCCGTATCTCTTCTAGGTAGACTGCAATTAAGTCATTACTCACCAGAAAAATTTCAATGGCACCAAGGATATACATGGCTGCTGCAAATGTGGTACCAAGATAAAAGCAGAGGCCAACAGCTCCTCCAAACTCTGGACCCAGTGCCCGGGATATCATAAAGTAAGAGCCTCCAGCTAGGAGACAAAATAGAAGGTGAGTAGGATAAAGAGTATTAGTAACAAGAATCTGAGCAAGTCATAAATAAGAATAATAAACATGCATAAAGGATAAACATGTCAGGCTTTTGAAAATCCTGAATGTATTAACAAGTAGAGTACTAGTGGGCAGTAAAAGATGAAACCTTTATTGTATATATCTAATGCTCTACAATAAGCAGTACATTTTACCGGAACACAAGTATTTAATATGGGTATGCAATATCCCAATAAAATATATTCCAACTAGAAGAGGCTAAGGTGTAATTAAAAATAAAGCTCTGTAGTCTAGAAAAAAATAGATCTTAAAAAAGGTATTCTGGGGCTGGTGAGATGGCTCAGTGGTCTAAAGCACCTACTTAGAACAAGCTTAGCAAAGCACAGGGACTACGGGTTCAATCCCCCAGCACCACATGCCAGCCAGCCCCGCCCCCTGGTGGGCTGAGCTGGCCACACACACACATAAATAAATAAATAAATTAAAAAACAAACAAAAAAAAACCAAAAAAACTTCATTGGGTCAGATACTTCTCATTAAAAATAAATATTTTTTTTTTAAAAAAGGTATTCTACAGGCAAACAGTGTTAATTTCTAAAGCCTGTGGACTATTACTCTGTTGTGCAAAACACAGTAAGCCAGGTGTGGTGGTGCACACCTACAACTACAGAATTTGGGAGTTCATGTGGGAGGATCGCTGCTAGTTGAGGCTTGAACCTCAACTAGTGAGACCATATCACATAATGAAACAAAGCCAAACTAAGCAAAGCAAAACAAAACTAAACAACAACAGAGCAAATATTAATCTGTTCCTCGGAAGTCTACCTCTGGCTTTATAAACATATAGTAACCATGGACAACCCCTGAAATCCAAGGGGAGACTACTCACCTGGCACCACTCCATTGGTGGCAATGGCACTCATGGAGATAGCAGTCAACATTGTCTGTGAAAAGAGAAAGGACACTATTGTTATCAGGTGAAGTTGACATTTCTGTACTACTTTCCCAACTGTAGATTTCAGAGCACTTTTTAAGCATTTAACTATACCTACTTTTATGGAGAGTTGCTATCATTTTCAGTGGCATGGAAATGGGATGATGTGTCCAACTCTGCATTATTATTATATATAATAATTACTATTATTATCTACAGCACACAGATATTCCACACTTATTAACCCATTCCTACAGCTGGTTAAATGAATTGACTGCTAAATGAGGAACTGTATATAGTATGCACATTATCATATACAGAACAATGAGATGGTCAAAGGAAACTCCACTTGACAACTTTGCTTTTATTTATGTAACTTACATTCAGTACTGTAATGTATAACAAGAGAAAACTACAGTACTATACAGCACAATCAGCAAAAATCATAATATATAAAAAAAATTCAGGCTCCATAAACAAGATGTATAAAACTGCACAGAAAAAAAGAGACAGGTCATAAGCCTGAGTAGCAGTCTAAACAGTTACAGGTAGACCATTAAATCAGGAATATCTGCAATCTTAAAATGGCCCTGATATAACCAGTAGATTATGTGCTAAGAGCCTAATGTTCCCCCAAGAACATCTGATCTCACCTGGAATTTCCTAAATAGGAAATAAAGCCTGGCACTCAAAAGCAATAACTAAGGAAAGAACTTGGAAATACATTAGAACCTGACTAAAGACTACCTGTGGTACCAAGAACATTCAGCAAGAATGAGGAGCAGTGAAACTTTCAGTACAGAAGAACTGTGATTTACTAAGTAGCATAGTACAGAATGGATTGCAAATAAGAGCAGCTGGAGGCAGATGGACTGGTTAGTATGCCACTTGACTAGTTTAGTGAGAGCTTAAAAACTACAGTGGTGGTAGTGAGGATAAAAAGGAAGGGCTGAATGCGAAATTCAGACAGAAAATGGATTGGTGTTGATAGATGATTAGATCTGAGATGTGACTAAAGAAAAATTGGCCTTGAAGTTTCAAGACTGAGAAACTGAAAACAAAACAAAATGGTATAGGAGCACTGTTAATTTATAACATGGACTATATCTGCTTAACCTGTAAAATAGTGACAGGGATAAAATGGGACACAGTAAAAATGACAGAGGAGACTGGAATATATCCCAGTATGGGGAAGAGAAGAAAAACTGAATTTCTAAGACAGGAGGACTTCAAAACCAAGCCAAGTCAAACTCAAATATGCCTCATCTCTCAAATAACTGTCACTTTCTACTTATAAATATATTTGAGTAACACACCACACTTTCTAACACATTTTCTGCAACAATATTGGTGCTATCAAGTTCCAAGTACTGAGATCCTTTATCTTCCACTTCCAGCTGAAGTCTTGCCTTATAATTGCTAGCACATCATACAATCTTAGATATAAAGCTGTGAATAACAGGCACTAAGTAAATGAAAATCCTTTACATTTTAATAACAGAATAATCTCTCCTGCTGACATTATAAGTCTAAGTATTCTTTGTTTTAATCCTAAAGATATCAAAAGCTTATACTCTTGAGAACACAAAATGTTTCAGATGATCTCCAGGAGCCAAGGCAAAACTTACACAGCAGCAGCAGATAAGGACAATTGCAAAGGCCTGAAGAACTCCAGCTGTGCCCACTACCCATGTAAGGCGTAGAAAGAGAATCACTCCAAAAATATTTTGTAGACATGGGAGGTAGACACCCATGAAGGTACCCATTTGGGGGGTCTAGAAAGAAAGAGACAGACTGAGCAAAAAATTATATAGTCATATTTAAAGATACTTTTTTTTCAATTTACTGTCTTCAATTTTTCAATTTTTAAATATTTTCTATAAAAACGTGTTACCTAACTACCATATTAATGTCAGGAAAAGTGAAGCCTAAGGGCCATTTCACCACTTTTTAAAGAGCTGAATAACTAGAAGGCTAAATGATATATGTTGTCTCATCTTCATTTTAAAAACTACTATCTGTAGTCCCTTCTAAGAAATTCAACAACTTCCCACACGGCATGGGCAGATGGTTGCTGGACATCCTTGACCTGCTATTCCCTCTTGCTGGAATGTTGTTCTCCCACATGACTCACAACACTGAGGTGTCTGCTCAAGTACAACCTTGTCAGGGGGCCTTCTCTGTCCAACCTGTCTGAAATTGCAAAACCCTCCATTTGGCTCCCTTGTCTGTCTCAGTCTCTTTAATCCTGCTCACATATTTGTTAAACCATTTATCAAGATTTAATGTTGTACATTTTTACAGAATTAAAACTAAGGACTGTCTCCCCACTTCACAGCAAGGATACTACCTGTCCTATCACTCTAGTGCCCATAAGTGCCAGGAATATGTACAAGCATTTAATAGTTCCTAAGCATTTTTTTTAAAAAATGTATTTAGTACAGGGTCTACAGGGTTTTACTCCACAGATCAGACTTGAAGTGATTCTCCTGTCTTCAATCTCCCAAGCGCCAGGATTACAGGCACGCACCATCACGCCCAGTCACAATCACCATCTCAGCACGCCCCAGATTCCAGTCCCTGCGCTCTGCCTAATTAGGCACTTTAGTCCACTGAGATAACTGGCCAGCCCTTGAATGATTCTTTTATTCCGAGGCCTTACCTTGGCTGGCTTCTTTTTCCCTTCAGTGATATTCTCTGCCTCTTCATGTTCCTTTGCTCCTTGTGTCAGATTAGTGTAATTGGCCATGCGATTAAGGAGAGAAGATACCTTTGGTCTGGTGTCCATTTCTTCCTATAAAGCCAGAAATATGGAAGAAATGAATTATAAAGCACAATGAAAATAAGCCTCAAAATAAACTTTCTTGATATGAAAGTAAAAGGGAGATTATCAGAGAAGTGGAAAGGAATAGGAGTGGAGAGAAGAGGGAAAGGATTACTGGGGTAGAAGTGGTCAAAGTATGTTACATGCATGTACAATATGCCAAAATAAAAACCACTATCCTGAATAAATAGCATATATGATAACAACATCTTTCTACCCCAAAACTGCAAAGTAAATGAGAAAATTTTCATTGGTAAATATTTTAAGAAAATTTCTCATTTTTCCCATCACATCTAAAGGTTCATTTAGGCTGAGCATGGTGGCACATGACTATAATTCTAGTACTCCAGAGGTTGCAGCAGGAGTATTCCCACAAGTTGGAGGCCAGCCTACATTACATAGGAAATTCAAAGCCAGATTGAACTACACAGCAAGACTGTCTCAAAACAAAACAAAACAAAACCTAAATAAGTACTAAAAGGACTAGGAATATAGCAAATAGGGTAGAGTGCTTGCCTAGCACAGCTGAGGTATTGGGTTCAATTACCCAGCACTGTTCAACAAAACAAAACAAAACAAAGCAAAGCAAAGCAAAGCAAAGCAAAGCAAAGGAAAGCAAAAAAACCCCAAAAAACAACAACAACAAAAAAACCCACAAACAAACCAAAAAGATCATACAGGGCTGGGAATGTAACTCAGGGGTACAATGCTTGCCTAGTACAATGGTTCAATTCCCAGCCCTGCTCATATGCACACACGCATGCACGCGTGCACGCACTCACTCACACACACACACACACACACACACACACACATCACACTTTATTAGGGTGCCATGAATCCTTATAAAATTCTAATTGATAAATTAAAATGTGCATATTTTAGCCTGGTGTGATCGTACACACTTATAATTTCCTTATTTTGGGATGCAGAGGCAGGGGAATCAGGAGTTTGAGTCCAGCCCAGGTAACTTTTTGATGTGGTAAGACCTTATTTCAAAATAAAAAATAATGTTTTTTACAAATGCTAGGGATATAGCTCAGTGTAGAGGCTCTCAGTTTAATCACCAGATCCACCAAGTAAGCAAATAAATAAATTACACATATTTACAGTGCATAATACATATGCATACATTATATAATGACAAAATCATGCTAGTTAATATATACATCACAACAAATACTTGTGGTGAGGCCACTGAAAATCTGCTGTTTTAGCAATTTTCAAGTATATATTAACTACAATTGTCATATTGTATAACAAATCTGAAAACCTTACTGTCTTACTTTTCTCTTATTGCCGAAACAAAATACCTGACACCCAAAGTTAAAGGGGAAAAGGTTTATTTAGTTCACAGTTTGTAGAATTTTCAGTCCATAATGAGCTGGCTCCAAGGCAGAGCAGGGTAGCGTGGCAGATGGGTGTCATGAAGGAGAAATAGTTTATGGCAGGCAGAAGGTAACAAAGCAATAAGGAACAAGACAAGCCTCTTTCTGTTCCTTATATTATATCCAGGCTACCAGATTAGAGTGGTCCCAAACTAATTTGTGGGCTGATTTAGTAATTACATACCCTTAATCCTAGCACTGCACCATTAATAAATCACACACTCTAGATTCAGTCACCTCTGAAAAAGCCCCACCTACAACTATGTGAGGCTTTGGGGGGACATCCAGACACAAGCCAAAACACTTTTTCTTCCTGTCTAATGGGAATTTTGTACCCTGTAACTAACATTGCCTCATCAGTCCAATCCCACGTGTAGCCCCCAATTATTAACACTGTATTTCTGCTTCTAGGAATTCAATTTTCAGACTCTATATATAGGTGAGATCAGTGGTATTTTTCTTATTTCACTTAACATGCAGTAGTCCCTCCTTATTTCATAGTTCAACTTTAACAGACTGTTTCACGGGTTTTCAAAAAAAAGTCATCTAAATTATTTATTGTGGATTTTTCACTATATTACATGATTTTGCAGTACCATATGGTATATGTATATTGTTAAAATTACGTAGGTTTATCAAGTTTAGAAACTAGTTAAGAACATTAAAAGTGTTTTGAAAAGTGTGGGAAAGATTTATAAGAGTGTGGGGAGACTTTATAAAGCCTTAAAATATACATAAATACAAACATAAATATAATGTCGCTACTTCGCTGATTTTCACTTATCACAGGGGTGTCTGGAATATAACCTCCACGAGAAGTGAAGGACTACTTACTGTATTTTCTCCAAATTCATCCATGTCACCAGTGACAGGATTACCTTATTTTTTAAGGCTGAATACTGCTGTTCTACTGTGTACATATACCATTTTTCCTTACCCAATGACTTCATTTTCTCTGGCTATATACTGAGTGGTAGAATTGCTAGATCATGTGTTAGTTCTACTTTGAGTTTCTGGGGAAAATTTCATGCTATTTTCTGCTTACACAAATCTATCCTTTCTGCCCTTTCTTTCTGTGCTAGGGATCCAACCCAAGGCCTTACACTTTCTAGGCAAGTTTCTATCACTGAGCTATATTCCCAAATGCCTTATAACATCCTTAATGAAAACTTCCATTATTCTTTTTAGCAGCTATGTAACTATCCTGAGAGGCTCCTATAGTAACCTAATGTTCACATCGGTAATGTGATCAACTATACCACACCTCTCTTTTGGCTTCTAATATTTATAGCAATTATTAGGGTTTTTTTTTTTTTTTTTTTTCTTAGCTGTTTGGAATCAAATCTAGGGTCTTCGTGCTAGGCAAGCATTTCATCAGTGAGCTACATTCCCAGCTGTATAACTATTATAGCACCAAGCATAAACAGACTGAGGAAAAACATCTGTGACTGAAATAAATATTCAATGGCCATACCACCCTGAACGTGCCCAATCTCATCTGAAAAAAATATTCACCTCAGACCTTGGTTTGAAGGAGACTGAGAGAAAAAGTTTGTTTTTTTTTTTTTAAAAAAAAAAAAAAAGCAAAAATTTAGACATTTTTCTGTTGTCTAAAGTCAAATAAACGTGCTGGACTAAATCAGTCTCTTTCAGTAGTCTGGACATAGACCCATCAGAGTCTTAGTCAGATAACACATCAAGTCCTCTTCAATATGCTAAGTGAAATAAGTCCACAGAGATGAACACTACACAATTTTACCTATCTCAGGAATCTAAAAAGTTTAACTCAGCTGGGTGTGGTGATGTACAACTGTAACCCCAGCACTCAAGAAGCTGAGGCAAGAGGACTGTCTTGAGTTCAAGACCAGCCTGAGAGGGCTGGTGAGATGGCTCAGTGGTCTAAAGCACCTACTTAGAACAAGCTAAGCCAAGCAAAGCACAGGGACCGCGGTTCAATCCCCCAGCACCACATGCCAGCCAGCCCCGCCCCCTGGTGGGCTGAGCTGG